GGGAGCGTGGCTGCAGGAGTGGTTTGCGGGGACCAAAGTGTGGCCCTGGAGGGTTGCCTTTTGAAGTGAAACCTTGTCTGATTTATGGGTTTTTTTGTTACTGTTCTCAGATTGTGGGTTATCTCACCGTGAAGGACATCAGCATCGAGAAGATCAGCTTTGATTATTCCAGCTACGGAGACGCACAGCTCAGCGAGGGGGATTTTGGCCACGTAACTGAAATCTATGACTTCCCACCGTCGCTGAAAACGGAGAATCTGTTGGAAGTGTTCTCGGATTTCCAGTGAGTACCTCTCCGGGAGCCGGAGCGCACCGGGGGCGTGGAGGGAGCAGTGGTCAGGCTGGAATGTGCAACCTGACAAACGTTGAATTCTAGTTTTACCTTCGTGCCCTTACATCTAGCACGCTTTCTGTGCCTTAAAGGACACTTTCCTGCAGTTTATGCATGATTTAAAACATGACTGGTTCTTCAGGGCTCTGCCATGCACACAGTTATCTACGTGCAGCCTTACTCCTTCTGCTCTGGCTTCAGTGAGAGCTGTGGGGTGCTTTCTAGGAGCTGCTTTGTTACTGTGTTCTGGTACCTGAGTGGAATCACATGCCTACGTAAGTCTTTGCAAGAAAAAGGGCTCAATTCTGCTGCTGGAGATAAGGTTTATTATGTAAATACGGGGAGCAGGGCGTTGTGCCTACCTACGGGAGCGACATGGGGTTTGTAGCAGGACCAGAACAAAATCCAGCCGTGCCGTAGTGGTAAACGGCGCGTGGTGCAGCTCGGAGTCGGTCTCGCTCTGCCAGAGCACGCAGACACGGGGTCTGTAGGCACCTCTCCCTGCCTTCCTCCCGCCACCCTCCTCCTCTCTTGATATTCCTGGCAGATTGGACGTGAACACTTCACCTCAGCGCGTCCCTTACATTAAAGAACAAGATCTACATTTTAAAGCAGCTGCTGGTCATCGTGCGTGTTTCCTCTAACGTAGTTTTTCCCCTCGCTGTGAGAGTGAATCTGAGCTGAACATTGACGGACCTGGTCTGAGCAGTCGATCGTGTTTGTGTGGTGTGTGCTGCAGGAAGAGCTTTCAGCTCCCTGCTCCCCAGCTCACCTTTTCCACTGACACTGTATTACATTTTCACATCGGTCTCTTCACCCTACGCCTTGGAACTCGCTCTTCTAAATCCCTTGCTTTCTATTGTAGATGCCTGAGCAGTCGGGTGGTGGTTGTAAAGTAATACATAAGTGACAAATAATATTTTTGTGTTCCAAGACAGCCCCTGAAACTGAGGTTGACTTTGGCCAAGGGTTTTTTCAGAGGCAAAGGAGAGCTGATGGGGGAATCGTAGATGGTGGCCTTGAAAGGGGCACATCTGGTGTTCTGTTTCTTCCTTCTCTTTGCCCTCATGTATAAACAGGTAGAATGCCTTGAAAAGCACCAGCTGGCTACGTAAAAATACTACGTACTCTTGATAACTGAAGGTGGCTGATGAGTTTTATTGTGTGTGGGTTTTTTTTCTTCTTTCTTACTAATTAATATTACTCTACTGTCTTTTCATTTTAGTGAGAGTGGCTTCAAAATCCAGTGGGTCGATGACACGCACGCCCTGGGAATCTTCTCCAGCCTGTCCTGGCTCCGTGGCTGTGATGGAAGGTTTCTCGGCTCTTGCAGCCTGGCCCTGTGCTGACGCGGGGGTTTGCAACGTGCGGCTGCCGAGTCGCGCACTTGGGCCGAGCTCTTGCCAAGGGCAGTTATGGTTCATCACGTCTTCCCTCCTGCACGCTTCAGACTTGAAAGGCTTTTAAGGCTGGAGAAGCTGGAGTTGCTGTGGTGGTGTGTGGAAACTCTGCTTTGCAAGAACAGCAGGTTTTTAATTGGCCTGGATAACAACCAGGGCACCTTTTCTTTGGTGAGCAACTCACGCTGCATTTCTCGAAATTAATCTGCTTTGCTACTTCAGTTTTTTTCTCTCTTGTAACCCGACAAAATTCCTGGGGCCCTTGGGCGTGCGCTGGCACGCGGGTCAGGCACCAAGCCCAGGTCAGCGCCAGCCCTAGAGAGGTTTCCACATCCAGCAGCGTACATAGTCCAAAAGCTTATGCTTTTTGCTTGCGATTTAGTCTAATAAGGACAGAGTTGTCTTTTAAAATGTGTTTATATTTTCTTGGGACTCTTCCTGCGCGAGGAATGGGTGAGGTAAGCCTGAGGCGACCGGAATGAGTTTAGCTGTTTTAGTACAACTCTTGAGATAATGAATAAGCTGCTGAAGCTCAAATTATTCATTGTTGTTACACCATGTACTGATTTTTATTAAAGCCATCAAAATTCAGCCTGCTAATTTCAGCCATCTTTGTTCTTTGCAGCATCTCAAGCCCTGGGGCGACGTTACCCTTGTTTAAAGATCCGACCCTTGATCCACGCAACAAAGCAGTCGAAGACCAAGGCACTGCAGCGACCAAGTAAGACAATCTCTTTTCTTAATTATTACTAATGTTATTTCTTGGTTTACCAGTCTTCTGTATCCTTAGTGGTCACAAGGACAAATTAAATGGGGAAATATATATTAAGGACCAGGTGTTTTTTTAAATTTTTATAGCTTTATTGGGATTGCAGGCCAGCGAGCTGTTGCACAGAGTTTTCAGCGCAAGCCTGCAGATGCGTGGGCTTTTTTTTAACAATGTTTTCAACCAACCTGTTTTATAGTTATGTTCAAGCTTACTGCAGCAGTAATGCTGGCTTCTGCCTGTTTGCAGCAGGCATGTGTGGTTGGCACGGGTGAATGTAAACACAAAACCAAATTTGCAGAGCAAGACTACATTGCAGACTGCTTACAGGAAAGATAACTGCAGCTGGTACCTGCGCTTCAGTTTTCAGTCTCTCTTTCTCCTTTCCCTATGAGGACTGAATTAAAAAAGCATCAAATCCTGCTGCTTTTTGTTTACTCTCCGGCTAAGTGGTTTGCTGAAATTCAGGCTTGGTCTTTCTTGTGCAGTTTGCTTCGCCTGTGTGAAGCTCTAAGTGAAGAGTTGTGGTGTGGGGTGTAGCAGCGGCTGCAGGAAGGCAAAGCGCAGCGAATGCCGTGCGCCTGCCCGGAAGGGTTCTCTGCACGGGCAAAGGTGACAGGCGAGACAAACCCGAGAGCAGTTACAGTTTGTGGTTGGCATAATTTTATATTCAGTATCAGGTGAAGGAAGAAATTATTAAGCTTAGCCATTAACATTGTTTTATTTATTTTATTGCCTTTTAAAATCATATTGTAATCAGTTATACTTGCCACAGTAAAGAAATGCCATGAATGGTGTAGCAGTAGAGACTTTGCTGAACCTACAACTGTACTGTTATTTCGACAGTACATTGCAGTGGAAACAAATTTCAGTATTAATGCTTTAAAGGGACACTGTCACAGGTAGAAGTTCCTGAGTTCTTAAGACTGCTGGATTTTAAATGAAACGTCGAAGAACGGGATTTGAGTTTGCGCTCTCCCCTTCATCCGTTTTCATTCCTGGTTCCCGATTCTTGGGGCTGTGGCCTGTCGGCACACTCCTGAATCAGGTTATAAGCTCCTTCTGGGGAACATTATATATAAAATCTGTTGTATTCAGTTTAAGTAGCAATTTTTTTTTCCAAATACAAATTTGGATCCTAATTAGCTGACAGTGTCTCTTTTTTTTTATCTTTTTGAGCTTTGTTAAGAAAGTGGCAGTTTGAGTCTGCCCCTTTTTCTTTTAAGCTGCTGATGGGCCGCCTTTATTAATAAAACTTCTGAAAAAGCAAGCAAAGCCCCCATTGCTAACTGGATAATAAATTTGCAAACAGTTGCTGATAAATGATTAGGTGATTGCCAAATCCAGACTACTGTGGACTTGGTAAAGTTTTGGTGTAAGATGAAACTGTAGCAAGCCAGGTGTCTACCAGAAAACGGAGGTTACTGGCCAAAGGGCTTTCCCAAAGCATCCGATAGATTTAGCTGTTTTTTAAAAAAATGCAGATTTTTTTTTCCTTGCTGCTTTCTAAGGATTTAAACTGCTGGTTTTGATTAGTCTAAACTGAGATCAGACTTCCCTATGCATGGATAAATTGGTTGGAACTGTGTGCCTTCATTTTGTTCTCAGAGATGGGACTTGCTGAATTTTGCCAGGAACGGTTAGGAAGCCGTTCCTCAAAGCGAACAGGGAATAATTCTCTCTACCACTGCAGAAGAGGCCTGAAGCTTAATCATAGCCAAATAGCTTTTGAACTGTCACTGAGAGATCTTGAAGTGCAAAGCTGGAGGCACATCTTTCTAAAAGAAACAGCAATTTACTGGATAGGGACAGAATGATTTACTCATGCTCCTGGGCTAATTCTGCAAAGGAACTAAGAAAATAGAAACCAGCCCTTCTGTCTGCCAGCCCTGTGGTTTAGCCACAAGGCTCTTCCTGAACGAGCACTGACTTCATGTTTTTCACCCGTTTTTACCTAGAGCTCCTTCACCTCGCGAAAGAAAGACCCCAGACCGACACCGCCGTGGCGAAGAGGCTGGTGACGCGGGCTTTGGGTTTGAAGCACAAGCAGCAGGACGTCTCGGGCGCCGAACTGCTCCTGCCCGAGAGCTTGGACCAGGAGGAATAACCATCATGGCTAAAAAAAGATGTCTAGATGAGCGTGGCTGTGCTATTAAACCGCATGCAGAACAGTGAGTTGCCACGGGGATGGTCTCTTATGGATTAGCACCATCTTTTGTTTCTAAAGTTGGAAAGGAAAAAAGTTGACTATTAATGAAATCTTGAGCTCAAGAGCCAGGGCCTGTGAGGGCTGCTGTTCGCTCTTCAGTACGGAGAGCATCTTGCCCTACCTTGTTTCAAAGTGTCTGTTACTCACTGGGGCACCTGCAGAAAGTAAGGCTGCTTACAGAAAAGCCTGCTGTGTAATTTAAAAAAAATGCATTACAGTAAGGGAATTGTATCTTGTTGGCCAAAATTCAGCTGTAAGCAAGAGCAGAGCATCTGCAGGAGACCAAAAAAAAAAAAAAAAAAAAATCTGTTTAACAGTTGCTTTGTTGTAATGTTATTGTTAAAATATCCCACAAAACTGACAAGCATTGAATGCAAGTGGCTTTCAGGGTTTTTCCTTATTTACATAGCATTTAAAGATCCTGACTTGCTTTGTTGCACTGCTGGCAAGGAAAGTTGTCATACACCGATTGGAAAAGAAAACCAGAACTTGCCAGTTCTGGCTTGCCCAGAGCCTGGTGTCGAGAGCTGCCGCGGGCCCCTTGTTGTGGCAGCAGCTGCAGAGCACCCAGCACATCTCAGACCCTGCTTTTGCTACACAGTCCGGCATCCTGAGAACACGAGGGAGTTTTCCACCTTACAGTAGGCTAAAAACCTTTGCTAGATGCCACCATCTGGACCACTGGATAAACAATAGAAATACTCTGACAGGCATTAGCAAAAGACTTCCGCATTCTTTAAGCCTCACAACACCCCTGTGAGGTAGGTTATGGAGAGCACACGCTGGACACAGCCAGCTCTAAGTACGCAGTTACCTTTAGCTGCTTGTAGAAGTCTTCCGTACACACACAGAGGGAGAAAAAACTTCCGTACCAGGAATTGTGAACAAGGCCCTAAACTTTCATGGAGTAGAAATACACAGATGGCATATAAAACATTTGTCTGGGTAAAATGTTTTTATTCAAGTAGCTGTGTCTGAAAATCTGTAGCAACGTGCGTCCTCAAACAAACAGAGGAACACACTTAGCACCATTATGAATTTACCAAGTGTAAAACTCCTTTTAAAGACGACTTACATAGGTGGGTCTGCAACAGCACAGGTCCAGATCCCTGATGATGAAAGCCATGAAGTCACCTCTGTAAGGTACAGCGATGATACAATGCCTTAACTAAGTTAATCCTTTCAAGAAAAGACAGAGTGAATATCCAGCTTAGAAGGTAATGTTTAGATGTACGTAGAATCTACTGGGTGAATAGCTTACTGCGTAATGGAAATTCACAGTCCCGTGGACTCATCACCAGGAGATCTGCGCAGTCTTCTGGATGGTAGAAGGGAGGTGTAGCTCGTGGAGCCCCGATGCACGCGTAGAAAGCAGTTCGGCATTAGCTGCTCCGCTGCGGAGATTGTGTTGGGAGTTGATTGTTGAATACAAGAGTTTCACTGCGGTATTAAATTATGCTTTGTACTGTTCTGCTCAGAAATAGCTGCTCCAATTTTTTTTTTCCTTTCCTGTGTTTCTTTGCTAAAATGGAGTAATGACACGGCAGGACTGAGGATTAGCTGTGTTCGAGAAGCAGCGTCACAAATGGTGCGTTCGAGCTTGAGTCAAAGAGCTTAGAGATACCGAGATTAATGCCTTGAAGAAACGGGATGGCAAAGACACCTTTAGGTTGTTGGTACCCAGACAAAGGCAGATGATTGTGCTTGCTGCAGCCTGGACCTACATCTGTGAACAAAGATGGCACTGCAAAGTGGAGGGAGAAATCTTTACGGAGAAGGTTGGAATGGTGAAGATACGGAGCCAAGTAGAGTTGAAGAGCCTGCCTCTAACTACCGCAGTAGTAAGGGCTGGAGTTACAAGAGACACGTGGTGCTCTGAGCACCTGCAAGGGGAAGGAAGGCATCTTTGGGAAATAATTTACCTTGCTAATTTAGAGTTTGATTGTTTGCTTGATTCTCTTTTTTGTGCAGTGGTTAGGGAAATCACTGAAGCAGGAAACCTTGCTTCTTTAAATAGTGGGGTGGGAGGCGATGCTCTTCTATCTGGTGGACACCTTGTTATTTGTGAGTCCGCTGAAGTGATCAAACTTCTGTTCCGTTTCCTCACTGAAGGAGCCACCTGGGGAGTTCACAGAGAGAGCACAGGGTTGAGCAGGAGGGAGCAAAGGCAGCGTGCGACGCGAGGCCGACAACACGCTGGGGGTTTGTGTGAGCTGCAAAAGATGCTGTGAAAACGAAGGGCTCAAAGCAAGGACTAGAAGAGCAGAGATTTTCCTGGGCTAATTAACTTAAGCATTAATTAAATCTTACCATAACTGGAACAGTCAGGAATTCCCAGGAGTACTGGATCTAGTCTCTTGTGTATTTGGAAGATCAGACCACACGCTACCCCCTATTTCACTGCTAACCTGCGTTGCTTCAAAAGACAGCGTGGGCTGACCAGCAGGACCTGGCCTCCTCCTTGAGGCTGGCGGTGAGTGGGTTCTGTTTACCCTTCTGAAACAGGACCATGCCCTTGTGTTTTGCTAGTTGAGAGACAGTTGAAAGCTAAATACGTTTATTTTTAAGTAGAAATATTTTCAAGCTCGGCTGGAGAGCCCATCCAACACTTAAGTGCCTGTTCATCCAACTGAAGTGGGTTTGGCTTTTCTGAACTAGGTCACAGTCTGAAGCGTGACACGTAAGTATTTTCTTCAAAAAACTCCAACAAATCAATGAGAAAAAGCAGTGGTTACATGGACTTTTTTCAGGAAAAACACTCCTTGAAGAACTTGAGCCAGCTCTGGAAATTGTCTGCACCGCTGGTTTTATTTGGAGGTTGGCAGGCAGTTGCTGTTAAACTGTTTTTAACAAAGAAAATAAATTATCTTACAGGGCCTCCAACTTAATTCCATTTTTAAATGGTCTTGACGCTTTACCGTTAAAGCAACTTTAAACCGGTTTGGCTTTGGTATTTCCAAGACCAAAAAAAATTCCAAATGATAATGTTTTACACGTAGTCAAGCAAATGCAGAGTTTTCCCCTCACATTCAAGAGGCCAGGAGAGCATTTCTGGCTCGAGCAGAGGGCTCTTCTCCACACATCACCCTTCTGGTTTGCCTCTCAAGAAAAGAGAAGCTGTGGGGTCTGAGGAGGTCTGTCCCAGGCTGGTAATAATTTGAGGCTGGGAAGAAGGTGGAGTTGGTTGCCTGGGCCTACTCAGGCGCTCTGAACAAGCCCTCAGATTGCACGAGAGCTTGTGCACTGACAGTCTGGGGAGGGAAAACTGCCCATCTCCTCGTAGGAGACACAGCTGGGACGTCCGTTGTCCCCGTTCTACCCCGCCCGAGGGGTTTTGTTCAGGTCTCGCAGAGCTGTTGTACCAGCGTTGTGCCTGCTGCTCCAGCAACACCTACGAGGTGGCATGAGGAACCATCCCCCCATCGTACTCTTTGCAACCCGACCCTGTAACAGAGACACTTTGGTGTCTGCTGTTGAGCAGCCTACGGCAAACAGCACCAGGGTGCAGCCTGGCTCAGGATCTCATCTCTCCAAGCACCTACACAAAGCGGTAAGCGGCACCCGAGCGCGTGGCGACGGCAGCGGGGGGCACTGCTAGCGAAGGGTCAGAGACGCAGCCGTTGGGCGACGTCGCTCTCACCTATGTGGCAGTTGTACATCCAGATGCGCTGCCCGTCGTACCGGCTCCTGCATTTCATCACGTTATTGGAGTAGTCGGATTCAGCGACTTCGTAGTTTGGGTTGATGACAACCTATGGAGCAACACAGCATAAAGTTATTTAATGGTAGACTGGGTATGACACTGACTAGTGACATTGAGGCAGAATCAGCTTGTTTGTTACACCATAATACATTTTAACAGAAAATCCTAACTCATTTTGCAAGGAGACAGAAACTACTTCATTAAAGCCAGATCAAGATCACACCTTCCCCCGTGCACCAAGATACACCCTCAGACACCTTCTCTCCATTTCACACGCTAGCAGCGCAGACAAAAATAATTCCTCTTCCTTTCGCTCCTCTCCAGTCGCAGTGGCTGTTTTTAGGACCAGAGAACTCGGCCCACTTGCACAAAACCAACTGCAGGCACAGTCTTGCCTCCTCCTGCCGACACCACAGCTCTGTTGAACCCCCAAGCGAAGCGAGCGTTGCTTGCAGCCCGCCCAGAAGCACCGCGCAAGACGGCAGCTGGACGCGGCGCGTTGCACGTGCTGTGCCGTGTCCTGCGGCCCGTGAACGACGTGAGCCGCAGGGGGATGGGGCAGGGCTGTCGGCTGTGAGCCGGATGCCGATTCCTCGAAATTGTCCTCTCTGAGCTCGGATTATTTGCCCTGATTTTTCACTTGGGACCTATGTGATCTGGTAACGCTGTTGTCCTGTTAGCTAATTCTTTATCTTTTAGGTACTCTAGGAATATAATCTCTGTAATTGGAAGTTTATAGTACTGTAGGATACATACAATAAACCAGTTAGTCACATTCCTGACACCCCAGTGGGTAAGATAAAAGCACTGGCACTGTCTCACACCCTCTCTCCCCATACCTGGAAGAGGTAATCGCCTGGTGGGACGTCAGTAATATCGATCCACTGGCAGTCGATGTCGTGACGGTACACATCCCAGCATCCAACTGTGATCCCTTGTTCACCAAAATTGGCACATTCGTACTGTTTTTGCACGTCTGAAGGAGAAGAGTTAAAGGCACAGAGTGTTAGAGCTACAGCAAGCTGGGCTGGGAGTTCCCCCCCCTCGGACGCGGCGGAGGAAGGGCGAGTCGTTCGCCAGCTCCCACAGCGAAAAGCGGCAGGCGCGGTGTTTTGGCTGGGATTTAATAAAACAGCGTCTTGCTCAGCATCTTGTATTGCAATACACGTGCTGCTTCGCTGCACGGGAGGAGCTGCCACCTTCCCCGCCTCGTCGCTCGGAGGCACGGTTTGGAGTTTCTCGCTCTGCAGGAACCAGAGCAGCTCAGAGTAAGGATGTAAGGAGCCGAGGGCTGAAAACCACAGCATGTGGGGCCTTTGGGGATTCTCTTATCCCTGCAAAGACCACTCCGTACACACATAACCCTCGGGACGGGTTTCTGGTTCCTGTCAGGCCCCATTCTAGCCCTGCTCAGGACTTGGATGGCACCTTGGAGGCCAGTCATCCGTATGGGGACAGCAACAAGTTCCCAGCAAATCTACCTGCTTCGCATTCAGTGTCTTCCAAACAGAAGCTGGCTTTGTGTCCTTCAGCCACCTTGGTTCCATTGAGGTTCAGGAGATCGTAGTGGGTGAAAACCTCCATACTGTGGTAGTGCCTGCAAGGTACGGACAGGGAGAGTCCTCTTTAGGGAGAGCAGCCACCCCTTGAATTAGCAGGGCTGCGCAGCGTGTCCCAGCGGTGAGCGCACGACGACTCGGATGCGACTCAGCCCAGGCTCAAGTCTTTGTGCTGCTGCATCCCTCGGGCCGGGCGTTTCACCTCCCCGCAGCCACGGGGATAAACACACGACAGCGCGCGAAGTGCTGCGGGCCAGGCGGTGCCGCGGGAGGAAGAGCGAGAGAAACCACAGCTGGGAAATATTCCCCTGGGCATGACCCTGCGTGGCACCATCGCCCATGCCGCCTTCACACTGGCTCCTGGCCCGGGTATCTGTTGACGTATCAAGCGCTAAAGCTGTTCCAGGGGAGAGCCTTGCCCCAGCCGTGGTAGGATCACACCGTCTTTTATAACAGCAAGGAAGGGAAAAATGTCATCAGCCAGGTCATCGCTTCTAGAGGCCACGTCATGCACCAGAACAAGAAATATTTCGCCTGCTCCTTAACAGCAGGCTGCAAACAGAGCTGGAGTACCCAGAGCAGCAACCTGGCTATTTTTATTTATTTTTTAAGAGGCAGACTGTAAATTTATTGGCAGAAAACTCCCAACAGATGGAACCAGCTTCTCTCGGCGCTCGCTCCGCTCAGATCTAAGCAACCCAACAGCTGGGTTCACACATGCTGCGTTTCATAATGATAAACGGGGAGGTGTTAGTGTCAACTCAGCCTGGGCTGGGCTGCGGTCGGAACGCTGCTGGGCGCAGCAGCAGTCGGGAGCGAGCACGCGGGCTGCGTGGTACCCCCCAAACCAGCACAGTTAGGCCGCGGCAGGGTCTGGGTGATGTTGGGCTCGGGAGTGTTGACTTTTTTCTATGCCACGCTGTTGGCTCAGCAAAAAATTAAGCCTGTGCTTCGGTCTCGTTGAAGTCCGTGGGACTCACAGAGCGGGAAGCAGATGGAAGGACCCGATTAAAACACAGTTGCGTGCTCCCCGCGGTCAGGCTGGGCGCGTAAATGTTGTCACGCTGATGCAAGGCACTGAATTTGATCCCAGCCTTGGAATCGGGAGCAAACCCGCAGCGTGAGCACGTTGTGGGGAACAGGAGAGCGGAGCGGGTGCCCCCACATGCGGGAGCACTGCGCGAAGCCACCAGAGCCCGTTTGCATAGCTCGACTCTGAGGAGCGAGGCAGCTGCACAGACAGGCCCTGATTCAAAAGCCATCCCTTAGGAGTTTAACAAAATAAAAAAAAAAGTGCAGAAATCCTCTCCTTCCAGCTGTAAAAATAATCGTGGCTTAAAAGCTTCCAACCACCATTACTGCAGCGTCACTCTGCACACGTAGTTACAGATCAAGGAGGGGCAAGGAGGAAGGGGAGGAAATTTTTCCTCTAGAGTGGGTTTCTTCTTACCTGCTCCTGCCTTTCCCCTAACCAAAAAAAAATTGCCACCTGCCAGAAGTTAATCACTTTTCACTCCCTGCTCCAGGCCTTTCCCATTTTCATTCTACTTCCACATCAAAAGCCAAGGAAACAGAAGCTCCCAGTGATGGAGCCGGGCAGCTAGGCAAGAAGAGGCATTCTGCAGTGGCTGAGCTGTTGACTTTGAGGCTGTCTAGTTTGGCTGCCTCTGAGAAAAGCTTGAGGTTCTCAAGTCTGACTCAGTTTCTGAAATATGTCTGAATCATTCAGAGAGGTGTTTACACTCTGGTGTTTACAGACTGGAAAGATTGAAGAGGAATTGAGTTCATCCTCCTCCGTATAAACAGAATCCAGTTTAAAGCACGCAGATGGCTCTCGGCCTCTTCCCGATCCCTTCCCAGCCTCACCTCGCACCGTCTCTCCCAAGGAGCTCCAAGCACCCTCCTCCTTAACCAGCCCGCGACGTGCTCGGAGCCTCGCGGTACCCACGTATCCCCCAGCCCCTTCCCAGCAGGGCAGACACACACTGCCCTGGCCCGGGCTTCCTCCTCCCCTGAACACACCGTTGCCTCTTGGCCTTCGGTTCTGTGCTGCCGAGGTTTTAGCTCTGCTTGTGCCTGTGAACCTTACAAACCAACCTGGCTGCAGGGGAAGGGGCCAGCGTCTGCCCCACGCCGCGATCTGAGGCTGAAAGGGGCGGTTAGATTTGAGGATTTGCTGCTCTAATGTTTTCACAAAGCAAATTCTTACAGCAGGGGCAGTTCAAGAGCTGTGCACTGAGTTACTCAGCTCCCTTTTACCCCTAATTAGAGAAAATCAACCTTGTAACGAGCCATCGTTTCAGCAGCAAAGGATCTGGATGGCTTCGTTCCAATTCTCTTTCCTCCCGTGGTTTACTTTGGCAGAAACCATCAGCTTCCCCCTGAAAAATGATGCGGTTTTGGGGGTGAATTTACTGTTTGTTACTAATAAGCACAAAGCAATCTCCCAGCTCCACACAGTTTGAGCGGAGTGGAGATGCATTTAAAAAAACAAAAGTGGAATTACAGCGTGTTCTTGAGTCCTTTCCCAGGTGAGGGAACAGCTGAGACGGCTGCGTCTTTCTACGCGCAGTGGGGACGTGGGCTCACGCTCCCCTCTGTCCGTGCGTGTGCAGACGCTGATGGATACGCTGCCCTCGCACGTACATCTCCCCCAACGAGAGCTCCACACCTCTCTTCTTCACATACCAGTTCCCAGCCACAATTTCCACCCTAACAAGCTGGTTTCTCTGCTGCCAGCGGGTCGCAGCTGCCCTACCATCCCTCACGCAGCTCCCCAGCCG